GAATCACTACAAGTTCCATCAGTTTTCCTAGAGTATTTGGTACAAATGCTTGATGGAAACTAAACACATAAGAAATATATATGAGTCAGATAATGCAGAATTCAGTGATGGTCTTTTTTCTGCTTGTGGCAGCTCTGGCTGAGAGGGTGGCTGTAATCCACCCAGCCTGGCGGAGAACCCACTGGCGTCAGTCCACTCATCACTGCCCACATTAGATGCTGAGGTTCTTGGGGATTTCTGTAATTATCATTAGCTCTGTGTCTGAGTGGGGGCTAGGGGAGAATCAGGGTCATTCAAATCAAGACAGAAAACCATAAGATTATTAAGTGGATACAGAAAAGGCATCTGATAAAACCTCTGTTCATGATAAAAACTCAGCAGACTTCACCTTCAAGCTGATGGTGCATTTACACAAAGCCTGTAGTGATGTTATACTTAATAGCAACAGAAGTTCTACCTTCCATGTTTCTATTCAGTATTATATTGGCAACCCCAGTCCATGCAATAAGGCAAGAAAAATCAAAGGTTTAAAAGTCAAAAAGGACACAGTATATGTTGTACGTAATTTGATTGTATACACAGTCCAGATCCAAACAGCATCTAAATCTGAAAGGGTAATTTTCAGTCCTCATTTACCCAAGCTGTCAGTCTCTCCCTCCTTGAAACATTCCTTCACTTGTTCTCCTCGCTCCCGGCCCTCTGCCGACTCCCTTGGCTGGATCTTCCACCTCCCACCAGGGGTGGGGAGGCCCCAGGACCCAGTCCTCAACCTATCCTGTTTGCAGTTACTCCCATGAGGTCTTTGGTCACCGTGCTGGAGTGTAATATGGTGGCCGCTGGCTCCCTGAAGCTCTTTAGAATAAAGAAAACAGCGGCTCTTCAAGTGCGTAGTAGCCACACTGGACAGCTACATGAGCAGCTCTGCCAGAACATTCCCACCACAGTAGGAACTTCTGTGAGGCAGCCGTGCTCTGGACCACCTATTTCTGCCCACAGTCGCCATCATCTCTTGGATTATTTGTACTGAGTGGTATACCTTGTCCCCCTTCAGCTCATTCTTAACACAACTGCCAGACCTTGAAACCCTCCCTTATCTTCCATTTTCACTTGTTATAAATGCCTTAAGGTGTTTTTTAACATCCTACAACCTCTTTCTCACCTCTTTCTCTTGCACGATTTTCTAACTCCTCGGCCTGGAGGCCCCTTGAACATGCCGGGTCATGCCAGCCTGCATTCTGCGCTCCCGGCTCACACATCCTTCACGTTTTTACTCAAATGTTGCCTTCTGGCCATTTTATGTAAAGTTTCGATCTGAAAATTTGTGTATACAAATTTTCCATCCCCCTTCCCTGCCTTACTTAAAATTTTTTTCTCCATAGCACTTTGTTTACATTGCAGTGCGTCTTCCCAAACCAGAGGGCAAGTTTAAGCTTCATGAGGGGGAGAACTTACTTGTATTGTTCATTGTCCATTGCTAAACCCCCAGTGCCTGTCACATAATAGGTGCTGAGTGAATATTTGTTGAACAAGTGAGAAACAGAAATTGTCATCCAGTAATATCCCATGTGTGTTCTCCTGTAGGTCATTAAGCAGTTGATGAAAAAGGAATTTACTCTGGAGTTTTCACGTGATAGAAAATCGATGTCAGTTTATTGTACACCAAACAAACCAAGCCGGACGTCGATGAGCAAAATGTTTGTGAAGGCAAGTGCGGCAGATTGCAATTGAGATGTTCTTTCCAGGATTAGCATCCTGGGTGAGCCCAGTAAATAAAATTGTTGACCTAAATCTGTAACATTTCCAGGGTGCTCCTGAAGGTGTCATTGACAGGTGCACCCACATTCGAGTTGGAAGTACTAAAGTTCCTATGACCCCAGGAGTCAAACAGAAGGTCATGTCTGTCATTCGGGAATGGGGTAGTGGCAGCGACACGCTGAGGTGCCTGGCTCTGGCCACTCACGACAACCCACTGAGAAGAGAAGAAATGAACCTTGAGGACTCTGCCAACTTTATTAAATATGAGGTTAGCTAATGACAAGTTTCTTCCCCCACACCCTGCACATTCATTGTGTTCAAACAGTACTCCTTCAGTAAAAGGTCAAATGAGTCCTGCTTTTGCCAAGAAAGGGGTGTGGTTATTTGTTTTTCTGCAGGCCAAGTGCATCACCGTTCCAATTTAGCCTGCTGCTTCCAACCTATGTAGTTAACAGTTTAATACAAGTCTGTTACTTTCAGGATAGAATAATTAAGACTTAAGCTAAATAAACTTGTAAAGCCTATTTTGCAACTCCTCTGTAAATTAAGATGTTTTAACAATTGGGAATGTTTTTAAAACATTCGTGAGTTATTAAAGGTCAAAATATCCAAGTTGAGAGATTCCTTTCACTTGTCTGCTCATAGAATTCTTTCTTACCAGGTATGTGACTTCCTGAAGCACTGCCTGAAAGGAATAAGGAATAACTTGGGTACTATGGGCCCCTAGAGTGGCCGGTAGCAAAATGCTCTTACTCCTTGGTATGTTTTTCTCTTCATTTCAAAGGATTATCATCATGAAAGTTAAAGGATGATTTGGTTACCAGAATGTAGTGCTATTTTTCATCCTTTCCAGCTAATTGGAATTAATACTATTCCTTATTGGATTTATATCTCTATGAATATTAATCTTAGGTAAGAGTCACAGTTACAGAATTTATTATAGGAAAATGCAGAGACTTTTGCTCTTAATGTATAACTGGCCCTGTTCTACACCACGGGAAAAACTAGGATTTCCTGTTTGAACTAAGGTGATTCTTTTGCTGTAGACCAATCTGACTTTCGTTGGCTGCGTGGGCATGCTGGACCCTCCAAGAATTGAAGTGGCCTCTTCTGTGAAGCTGTGCCGGCAGGCAGGCATCCGGGTTATCATGATCACTGGGGACAACAAGGGCACTGCTGTGGCCATCTGTCGGCGTATTGGCATCTTCAGGCAGGATGAGGATGTGACGTCGAAAGCTTTTACGGGTCGGGAGTTTGATGAGCTCAGTCCTTCAGCCCAGAGAGATGCCTGTTTGAATGCCCGATGTTTCGCTCGAGTTGAACCTTCCCACAAGTCAAAAATTGTAGAATTTCTTCAGTCTTTTGATGAGATAACAGCTATGGTGAGTACCTTTGGACTCTCACTATGCAGACAGAGCAGGTTGTAATTTTGACTGTTAAATTTTTAGTAACCGCTCCCAGATTTAGAATATCTTGATTTTTGTCACAATCAGGGCTGTTTCTGTAGGCTTCTGTTGACCCGTAGTTGGTATGACCTGCAGGGAAGATTCTAGAGTAGTTTAAGAAGTAGAAGTATGCCTTCTGAATCACTTGGGGGGAAATATTTGGTGACATCTAGTCTTTAATCTTGGTTAAAGTGTACATGTTTCTTTGTGTTTTAAGATTTTATTTGAGAGAGAGAGAGAGAGAATGAGCCAGGGGGAGGGGCAGAGGGAGAGGGAGAAGCAGACTCCCCACTGAATAGGAAGCCTGATCCTGGACTCGATCCCAGAACCCTGGGATCATAACCTGAGCAGAAGGCAGACGCTTAACTGACTGAGCCACCCAGGCACCCCCAAAGTGTACATGTTTCTATCTATCTCAAGTTTCTAAAAATTGATTCAGGGTTAACTCCTTTGTGTTCTCTAACCCTACCTGAAATTAGATGTACTGGTCAAGCATTAAGAGCTGCCCATGTGCGAGGCATTTCCAGGATTCTTCCCCTAGTGTGAATCTTCACCCAGACACATTCACATTGTGCCATATTTGCTTTCTGTTGCTTGTCTGTAAAACTTTAAGAAACAAAGGTGTTATGTGAAAGCAGATATTACAGATATAACTCCCTTCCCCCTTCCTTCCTCTCTTCCTCTCCCAGAGGGAACCACTGTTCTGAATTCAGTGTTGGGTGTTCAATGTTGGGAATGATAGCTTTGTACCTGTAGACAGTATCTGGTCTTTTTGCATGTTTGTGACCTTCGTAAATATTACGGTTTCCATCTTTTTGCAGTCTGCACCTGTTCTACTTGAGCTTTCTCTGTGTGGATACAAGTGCTGCATCTTAACTGTCATGTGGGTGGTTTTTATTTTGTTTGGTAAAAACATAAGATGAATTTTGAAGTCCTCTTTGTTCCACTTCCCTCTGAAGTCTCTTCGGCTCATTGGGTAATTTTACGTTTCCCAGGTGAAGTGTGTTTTGTGATGCCACTTTGTAAAAATGAAAATTCTCTGTGTCTGTGCCCAGAGGGCCATGGCTGCATTCGTTCCCTTGCTTCAGGATGGCCGAGCCTTTGTCGGGGGTGTGTGTGTGAGGTGGTGGCAGGTGTGCATAAACCAGCCCTCGCGTTCCCTTTCAGACTGGGGACGGCGTGAATGATGCTCCTGCCCTGAAGAAATCGGAGATCGGCATTGCCATGGGCTCTGGCACTGCAGTGGCTAAAACGGCGTCTGAGATGGTCCTGGCTGACGACAACTTCTCCACCATTGTGGCTGCGGTGGAGGAGGGGCGGGCCATCTACAACAATATGAAGCAGTTTATCCGCTACCTCATCTCGTCGAATGTGGGGGAAGTTGTCTGGTGGGTGCTTGAGAAAGACCACTTGTAGTCCTTTGTCTAAAATCAGGGCTTAGGATGACCAGGTTTCCAGATTTGTGGTTCATATGGCAGCAGCTTTGGTCTTCGTGCATAAGGAGGAAGGTAGAGGTTGTTCCGGCCCTTGGGAGGCTGTCCTGCAGCTGCCCTCGGGTGTAAAGCATGTCCTCGAACATAGAAATGAGTTTAACTACATAAAGTAACGTAAAATTCTTGGCCTTCTAACATTGTACTTTAACTCAAAATTAGGTATAACAAATGTTTTTATGGTGGCCAAAAAGTTACTTCAAGCAGTCATTGTTACTGTCCATTGATTTTTATGGAGGAGGAGAGGGTGCTGATGCTGTGTAAGTAGTGGCCAAAATAATTGGTCTTTCTCTTTCTTCGGGTGGAAACAGTATCTTCCTGACAGCAGCCCTTGGATTTCCTGAGGCTTTAATTCCTGTCCAGCTGCTCTGGGTCAATCTGGTGACAGACGGCCTGCCCGCCACTGCCCTGGGGTTCAACCCTCCCGATCTGGACATCATGAATAAACCACCCCGGAACCCGAAGGAACCCCTGATCAGCGGATGGCTCTTTTTCCGTTATCTGGCCATTGGCTGTGAGTATAGTTTTTATATCGTTGACTTTGAAACAAAACGTTCATGAGCCAACATCTTTGTAAATTCATTCTTTAAAAGCACATTTTTTCTTTTCTGTCCCTGTGTTAGGGTAACGGAAGATGGAGTTTAATAAACTATATACCCAGTTTACAGGAAAGTTGGTCCCTTGTTTTAGTTATCCCTGTCATTCCTTGGGTCTTTGTGAATGAGGTTTTCAGATTTAACCTAAGGGCAAAAGGATACAGGGGTGAGTAAGGGTCAGGCCTTCCATCACCAAGCTATGAAACTAAGCCCCCCTCCCACTAAAGTAGAGGGGGGAGCTCTGCATTCATCTACGGTGCATGGGAGCCACATGGGAGCCCCGGCCACAGGTCGGGTTCCTCATATGTCGTCTCTGGCCCTCCTGCTCCCGCCCGGCTGCCGGTTCTTGTCCTCACTTTAGACCTTAGGAAAGTGAGGCCAGAGAGTTAAAATAACTGCCCTGGGGTTCAACAGGAAGGTGGCTTTTTGTTTGCTTTTTTAGTATGTTCACATGATTTAAAATTCCAGAAGCACACAGTGGCATAAAGTGAGAAGGTTCTCAGCCAGTCAGTTCCCCTCCAATACTGAATTTCTCTTGTGCCTTCCAGATATACTCTAGCAAATAGATCTGTCCTGTGCATATATTTTTCCTAAGCGTTGGTGTGCTACACACACACGTGCTGAACCCTGCATTTCTCCCTATTTGTTGGGAATCGCCACGTCAGTTCGTGTGTGGCTGCCCTGTCCCTGTCCCCTTGTAATTGCCGGCTTCGAGGGAGTGTGCACTTGTGTCTTCTGGTAGATGCTGCCACACTGGGACCGTCTTCATGGTGTCCCTGTGTTCTCCGTTACCCTGTTGCTTTGTAATAAACTTGCTCAATTCAGAACTATTTGGTTGGGGGCAGGGGGGCGGGGGAGGTGGTCCCAGAATCGGCTTTGGGCTTTGCCACGTCGCTTGCGTTCTGCACTGACCACGCTGGCGGCATTTCCACGTAACGGTTCTGCCAGGCCTTTGGAGCAAGTAGGTGTCTAACTGGGAGCATCAGTTTTCCTAAAAGTCCTGGGGGGTGTGATCTGGCCCTGCGGCACAGTGAGGCGCTGTGGGGAGGACACATACCTGCAGCGGTAAAGCGTTAGCCTCCAGTTTGAGAGGGGCTTGGCTAGCGTGAAAGTCCAGCCAATTCCAGTAGGTGCTCCTCCTCCCACGCTCTGGAAGAAGAGTTGCCCAGTTTTTCTGTACACACCCCCCTCTGCTTGCAGAAGGCCTCCGTCTAGCTGCTTTGGCCGATGGGAGTGAGCACTTGCCAGTGGCAGCCCAGGCTCTCCTGTACCGTCGTCCTGCCCTGTCTCCTCTTGGCTGGACGCTGGCCTGCGAGGCAGGACCTGCAGGGAAAGCTGTGGGCTGCAGACCCCGCCTGTGTCTCTTCCCAGGTTACGTTGGTGCTGCTACCGTGGGTGCGGCTGCGTGGTGGTTCATTGCTGCCGACGGAGGTCCGAGAGTGACCTTCTACCAGCTGGTATGTATCTGCCTTTTCTCCTCTGCCTTAGAGGCAGAGCGTCAGGAGGTCGTCCTTGAGCGCTCTGCAGTTTGGGTGGCTGCCAAATAATCTCAACACTCAAATAATTAGCAGTGGCCTCTAAGAGGATTCTGAAGGACCAGGGCTTCTCTGGGAGATGGGGGGAGATCCTGTGTGGGTCTGTGTCCTGGGCTTCCTGTGGAACGGGGACATGGACCTTGGAAATGTACTTGGCTGATAAAGAACTTGCTTGGACGTTTGTTGCAGAGCCACTTCCTACAGTGTAAAGATGACAACCCGGACTTTGAAGGAGTGGATTGTGCAATCTTTGAGTCCCCGTACCCGATGACAATGGCGCTGTCTGTTCTAGTAACCATAGAGATGTGTAACGCCCTCAACAGGTCAGTGAGTCCTCGACGAGCTGGGGCAAGAGCTCCGCCAGCCAGCACGCCGGGGAACTGGGTGTCGTGGTTGTTGGTTTGCAGGAAAGCTCCTCCCTCCCAGAAAGAAAGGAGAACAAGCAGCACCGGTTTTAAAAGCTTCAGTCGTCATCCCCTCCAGGAAGTAGTGGGAGTGCTTAACCACATGTTCCTTATGAGACAGCGGGGGCCAAAAATAGGGCCTCTCGTGCCCCTGTGTGCCCTTGTCCCCAGGGAAGGCACTCTTGCCCTTTAGCAGTGAGACCAGTGGTATCATCCAATTAAGCCAGTGACAAAAATGGAAATTTCAAAATAGCGTCAGTGTCAAGGGCAATTGAGAGCAGCTCTGAGTCCATTGAAATGGAGTCTGCTGTGCTGAAGCCTAGATTTAAAATTGGAAGTTTGTCCTACATCTGAACATTCTTCCTTTAACTTTGCCACAATAGAAACGTCACCAAGTGGAAGTAGGTCAGTGGGCAACGCCAGGTTAGCCACTGCCCGACTGAAGCATCGTTTGAACGGTCTTGGTCGCTCGTTATAAGGGCCTTTGCCTTTCGGGTGGGCGTATTTCATGTACCTCTCGTCGTTCTGCAGCTTGTCTGAAAACCAGTCCCTGCTGAGGATGCCGCCCTGGGAGAACATCTGGCTCGTGGGCTCCATTTGCCTCTCCATGTCGCTCCACTTCCTCATCCTCTACGTGGAACCTTTGCCAGTAAGCGCTGGGGGGACCAGGACCGAGGCTGGGGCCTCGCTGCCTGTCCCGCAAGTCTGGGGACTTGACAGAGCTTCTTTGTATTTCAGCTTATTTTCCAGATCACACCGCTGAATTTGACCCAGTGGCTGATGGTGCTGAAAATCTCCTTGCCTGTGATTCTAATGGACGAGACACTCAAGTTCGTGGCCCGCAACTACCTGGAACCTGGTAAAGAGTGTGTGCAGCCTGCCACCAAATCCTGCTCGTTCTCGGCATGCACCGATGGGATTTCCTGGCCGTTTGTGCTGCTCATAATGCCCCTGGTGATCTGGGTCTATAGCACAGACACTAACTTTAGTGATATGTTCTGGTCTTGACTGACAGTTTTACATAAAGAAGATGTTTAACTTAATCAATTAATTTTTTTATTGTTTAAAGCAACTGTCTATTTCTGCTGAATTTTCACATGAACATATTGGCTGGTGAAGGAGATTTCATACTCTAGATTTTGTTTTGCTTTTCTGACTCCAGTGGGGCAAGATTTTCCTTTTTTATACACATAATTAAAGTGTCCATTGACATGTACAGAGAACTAACACTATTTTATGCAAATATTTTTTTGTAGATGAAAAAGCATGTACAGTGTTCTGTTTAATAACTCATCCTTGTATAAAAAAATAGTTGAGCCAGCAGACATTGTCAGCAAATTAATTGGCAGCAGATTTTAGGAAATGAATGTGTGTGGTTTTTTTCTAAAACTAAATAGCATGTATTATGTCTTTTGCATGATCATCTGGGTTTAATCTGAGATCACAGTCTAATTTTTATTCATAAGCCAATTTTTCTGCACTGAGCAGAGTACTGCTACCTCAGTCAGTATTTTTTGGTTTGCCACTCCCCTCACCCCCCGGCCCCCGTTCACTCCCACCCCCGCTCCCGGCCCCGCTCGGCTGCTTCTCCCGTAGGGTTCCGATGGTTCTGTTTACATCAGTCTTAACAAGAGGTATGCCTGTTCTCGCTTGTGCAGAAAACATTGTTCCAGATTCAATCGACTGGGTTCATGTCCCCCACGTAGTTTTTAAGGTTATTTATTTAAATGTCTAATGTATTTTATTGTTAACAGACATTGTTTTGCCAACATTGCCTATTTCAGTGGCACTTTACAATCTAGTTTAAAAAGGAAAATAAAACATTTTAAATGGACAGAAAAATAACTGTCTTGTTTTTAACTTTTAAGTGGCTTAGCTTAAACTATCAAACAGATGTGTCCAATTTTCTCTTAAGTTCTTAGAACTTGAGTTTTACTGTGCTCGAGGGGAAGGAGGATTGTGTTCTGCTGCAGAGGTAGTTGTAGGAATTAATACATAGGCACCTGCTGTCACCCATGATACTTTTTTGCAAGTTTCTGCTGGCCTGTTTTAGCCTGGTGTAGAGAATATAAGGGGGAGTGTGTGCGTGTTTGTGTGGGGGTATGTGTGTGTGTATGTGTTTTTGTAAAAATCTGTAAATAGCACATGACCAAATGAACATATGTACAGAACTATTTTTATTTGAATGTGGCACTAACCAACACCATGGTTACTATGATAGATGTTTGCGCATGTTCGAGATCAGTCTTACCAACCGTGTGTAAGTCATTAACTGTCCTAACTATGGTGTTTTCCTCCAATGCCTTCCAACATCCATCAACTAACGTGAGTATTCCCTGGAATCCTGATGCTTTAGCCTAAGGGTGCACTGCCACCGAGCGAGCTAGCTGGGACACTAACGAAAACATCCCCTGGGTCATGTCCTGCTGTGCTCTGTGTCTTCGAGGGCAGCAAGCGTACGATGCGTGGTACCTGTGCACACGTGGGGTGGGTTAGATGCCCGCAGACTCCATGCACGGCCTTGGACAGTGGCTCAGCCGGATGTTGAGGAGGGCGTGGTGGGAGAGAAGCTCGTTTTGCTCTGGTCCAACTGACAGGCTGAGGGAATGCTGCCTTTGTTAAACTGCCAAGGTGAGGAGTCTCAAAAACTCAGGGTTCTCTGGTGGTTACTAGCTGCAAGGACTCCTCCCTGAGCCTTGCTACCGTGTTTGTTAACAAGTAAAAACCTGGTGAAAGCAAATAATTGAGCAGTGAATTCATATATCCATAGGTTTGTCTCAAAATAGGTGGCCACCTTTTTCCACCTTCTGGGTCATATTCTTTGCAGCTGAGACTTGTCTTCTCTTTCTCCAGGGTATGAGAAAGCGCAGTTAGTAGGGCCTGGTTCTGCTAGCAACCAGCCGACCAGTCATGAGCCAGGGTGAGGGAGGCCTAGGCAGCAGCTCCTTCCCTGTGAGGCCCTGACCTTTCTTGTGAAGGGACTGGGGCCGCCCCCAAGATGTGCTATAAAGGCTCAGTGCTTGGGGAAAAGTTAATGGATATTAAGCAGGTCTGAGTATAAGGGGATGGAAGTCCCGGCCTGACTCATCGAGGTCTCTGAGGAAGGGAGGTTGGTTTGTTTGGCAGAGAATATAGGGGGGAGGAGGGTAGGTTTTTGCCGATTTTGGCGTAAAAAGAAGCGGGCTGAGTGGTCGAATGCAAGGAGTGCACCTTGGCTGCAAACCAAGACAGGATGTCTGAGCTTGTTGGGTGTGCTATTCAGTGGAAACCAGACTTACCAGTCAGCTTTTCCTGATCTGGTTCCTTGATGTGGTGGCCTTTACAAAAGAAGCTGAGTGTGGTTTGCTGCTGTCGGAGACGTGCACAGCCCCAGCTGGGCCTGGGCCGGCTCTTGTCTTGTGGTTTCTCCGCTTCGGGCCTGTCCGGCCCATGGAGGTGGTTTAGGCATCCCCTTCCCTCAGCCCGGGCCCCTGGGAGCATCTCCTCGTCGGCTCTGCTCCAGGCTCTGCTGCTGAGAAACAGGCCCCCGTGAGCCCCTGTCCTCAGCCCCTTACTGCTGTGGGCACATCCCTGGCCTCAGGCCTCAGGCCTCCTGTCCCAGACCTAGCCTCACCCAGCACCTGCAGGAAGGCACAGGCGGCCTCTGCTTTTGCCGCCGTCAGGACTAGACAGGGTGGTGTCGTGTTCAGACTCACCAAAACTTGTTCGTGTCCTCACCGACGGGCAGGTAGGCCTTGCACAGCTGCTTTGATGGGGCTTTGCCTGGAAGATGGCGGCCTCACACGTCCCGCAGCTGGGATCCCTCTCCAGCGGCTCATTCTTCATCACAGCACACGTGGCACATGGTGCAGAGCGAGCTGCGTGAGCCCCCGCACCCTCCCCCCCTCAACAAGCAGCTGCTGGCACGCCACCCTCAGACCGGGCCCCGGCCCCCTGAATGTCCTGGAGGTGGTAGACCTCGGGAATAGGAGACCCCAAGCACTAGCTCAGTGTCCGTGAAGCACCTACCCACCGCCGGAGCGGTCTGCAGTGCCGGTGGGCTAAGGCAGCCCTTTTAAGGTCACCACCAATTTTGCCAAAGCCACCACCGTGCAGCTAACAGCGACGGTAATCCCCAGCCTGCCTGCTTCAAAGAGGTGGGTGAGGGCCGCAGCTCCCCTTCTAGGACCAGGCAGGGCTAGGCCCCCTGGGAGGGAAGGGAAGGGAAGGGAAAGGGAGGAGCTGAGGCTTCGCACTGGGCCACACTGCTCACCTCTGCTTCACCTTCCTTACCATCTGCACTGCTAACCGGGAACTTCCCTCCTCTTGCCCATCTCCCTTCTGTTACATCTGAAGCGATTCCATGTCTGCCTGGTGGGGTTCTTCTGTGAGCCAGGGTGACAGGAAGGGCCCATGTCGCCAAGCGAGTGCTTCTAGCTGCTACCCTGTGTAGGCAGCGCCTCAGGGACAGTTAACTAGAAATGCTGGTCCTGAAATCTTAAAAGGTCAAACTGAATGTTCCTTCTCACTATTCCTTGTCACTATTAATCTTAAATAGTTATTCTAACATTTCTTCCCATATTTCATAAAGCTGATTTCCTCTCTCTTTCCTTTTCAGCAATACTGGAGTAACCGCTTCCTAAACCATTTTGCAGAAATATAAGGGTGTTCGGTTGCGTGCATGTGCGTTTTTAGCAACACATCTACCAGCCCTCTGCATGATTGACGTTGGGGGGAAAAGAAAAGTAGAAAAAAAAGTCCCCAACTCATTGTGTGTTATGTGGAGGAAACGTGTATTACCAACGGGGTTTAGCTTTTAAATCAAAATAATAATTACAAATGTACAATTTAGCTTAATGAATCAGAACGCCTCTCCAGAGAACTTTGGTTTCTTTGCTGCAAGAAGAATGAGGTTCTGAAACCTTATCTAAGAACTTAGAAGCCATCAGCCAAGTCTCCCATGTTTCTCTGTGCAAAATGTCATAGCCTATATAAATGTACCATATTCAATTGTAATGCATGCCTTCAGTTGTAAGTAGCCAGACTGCTCTATGGTGTCATTTAAACATGCTACTTTTTAATTGGCCCTGTACAGTTTGCTTATTTATAAATTTATTGAAAACACTACAGGTGTTGAAAGGTTAGAATGTAGGCCTCCAGTTCATAACTTGTTATTTTTTTGAGTGTGCAAACAGCTATTTTGCACTGTATTAAATGTAACTTATTTAATGAAATCAGAAGCAGTAGACATGTTGGTGCAATACGAATATTGTGATGCATTTATCTTAATAAAATGCTAAACTTCATTTATCACAACGCATGTTTGACTTTAGACTGTAAATAGAGAACAGTTGTCTATTTCTGTGCTGGTAACAACAAGCATTGCACAGACATGGTTTCAGGTAAATAAATCTATTCTACGATAAGTTCACAGTGTGGTGCTGACTGTTCTCCAGCGGGAGGGGTGGGCGGTGGGCACTGAGCGCCTCCAGCCCCGCACCCCGAAGAGTTTTTACCTTCCGGTGGGGGGAAGGTCTTAGACTTGACTTTCTGGGGACAAGGTCTGCTCGTGTGTCACATGACTCAAGTGTGGGGAGAGCTGAGTGGCTTGTCACTGGGTTTTCAGAGATAATCAGATTTTAAAAGTTGTCAGCAGCTTGGAGGTTGTACCGATGGAGAGATGCTTCTCATACTGTTCAGATGGAAAATGTAAAATTCTGCACTCCTACTGTGAGTAGATAAAAGTGAACTGGAGTGGCTGCCGCAGAGAGCAGAATTCCTCCATTTGATGGTTATTTAGTGCTTATCTATCAGGCATGGGTTTGGTGTGGGGCATTTCTCTCTTTTCCAAATTACTGAAGATGATTCTTTTATCATTAAAAAAAAAAAGCAGTGAGGCAAGGATAGATGATTTTATAAACCTAATGACAAAAAACACAAGTCCTAGCAACTACAGAGATGGAAGAAATATTTGATAAAAATCTGATAAACTAACATCCATTCCTGACGTAAAGAAAAAAGCAGTCTCCATGATTCCCATTTAATAACTCACTGAAAAATGTACCAGAAGTATTGACACAACCAGAACCCCACTCACCATACGCTAGTGCCCACCACTCATCACTGTCGACAGTCTCTGCAATCCAGCAACCGTTGGGACGATGCCTGCGAGGGAACAAAGAACCCCAAGAGTTCATTAGATCGATGGTAATACCTTGTTCTTAGGAAAGTTTTAATAATTCAGGGAGAATGGACATCTTGAGGTAATATGTAATTCATTTATTAATGATAAAATACCAGCAGACATTTCATTTTATTTATTTTTTAAGATTTTATTTTTTAACACAGAGACAGTGAGAGAGGGAACACAAGCAGGGGGAGTGGGAGAGGGAGAAGCAGGTCCCTAGCCGAGCAGGGAGCCGGATGTGGGGCTCGATCCCAGGACCCTGGGATCAGGACCTGAGCCGAAGGCAGACGCTTAACGACGGAGCCACCCAGGCGCCCCTACCAGCAGACATTTTAGTCAAACATGAACAAAAGAAAAAGAATAGCAAGTGCAGCAAACCCTCAGACATAAAGCTCCAGTTGTTAAATGCACGGTGTGAGAAAGGTGGTATTCGCTATGTTGTTGGTCAGCTTGAAGAAAACAAAGCTGTATCCCCCTTATGCCCAATCAACTGCAAATGCATCCAAAAAATTTGAAAAATGAAACTATACCCCAAAAGGAAAATGGCTAAATGACCCAGACGAAAGAAAACGTGAATGGCTTATAAATACAAGATGTACAGCCCCACCAGCCAAATCCCGGTGAGATAGCGTTTGTGCCCATCAGCTGACAAATGGGCCGTGGGACACCAAGGAAGTGGAGAACCGCCCTGTACGCTACGCTGCAGAACAAGTAAGTACCTCGATTTGTGCGTGCCCTCACTGTACAGCCCGGCAGGCCCACGCCTGCACCACCTCCAGAGACCCCCTCACATGGGCTGGGAGAGTCACACCAGCATGTTTATAAAAGCATCGAACAACCGAGGTGACCAAAAAGCAACAGGGAAACAGGTACGTGGCCTTTGAGACAGGTTTAGATCACTCGGCAGCAATGAAAATGAGTAAATTGGAACTGCAAATAACAACAGAAATCTCCCTGCACAGGGGAAACCAAGTGTGGTGTATACAAAGTTCAAAATCTGCAAAAAAAAAAAAAAGCACTTAAGTGTTACATGTGTGGGTGTTGTTATGCCTGTTGACATGTCTGGGGTTTTTTAAGAACACCATTAAAGTATTAGAGAACATGGAAGATGACAGACAAGCCTTTCCAAGCAGGACACAAAATCCCAGGAGAAAAGGAATAAATTGACTACGTAAAAAGGTAAACATTTGGAACAAAATACCCCTCTTTTGAGTTAGGAAAATACATTTGCTGTGCCTTTGACAAAAAGCGAATTCCTTGCACATGATTGGCAGAAATCGAAGGCTGACGGATATTGATCTCTCCCTTGCAGTGGCATCAGAAAACCATATTCATGCTGATGGGGAGCCTATCAACCGGCCCAGCCTTCGGAGGGCAACGTGACAAATCACTGAGGCTTTTAAACATCCACACCCCTTGATCGAGCACTTTAGTGAAATCCTCCCACATGTTCACAGAAGCAACATAATCCTGCTGTAGGATGATGTAGCCAAAAATTGGAAATAGCCCAGATGCCCATCGATAGGCAAGATGTTGAATAAACTAAGAGCATTAATACCATGGAATATTACGCAGCCTTCAAAAAACACAAGGTAGATCTGTGTGAACCAGCAAGGAATGATACCCAGTCGATGATGTCTGCCAGGGAAACATTCAAGTGCAGAACAGTTTTTTATAATACTCTTTCATTTTTTAAAAACAGGAGGAAGTTAAGAGTTTCCAGTAATGATGGTTGCTGAGAGTAACTGATAAGACTGATACAGATGGCGGATGTTGGGAGCCATTGTTCTCACTGCTGGGAGTGGGAGGTTACAGATAAGCAAGGGGAGAAGGCTAGAAAGATTCATGTAATGAATTACAGCTGGAGATACCAGCATAAATTAATATTTCATTTAATACTGATACAGATGATCCTATACAGAAATATTTCTAGGGGCGCCTGGGTGGCTCAGTCGTTAAGCTGAGATCTGCCTTCTGCTCAGATCATGATCCCAGAGTCCTAGGATTGAGCCCCATGTCAGGCCCCCTGCTCAGTGGGGCATCTGCTTCTCCCTCTCCCTCTCCAGCTCCCCCTGCTTGTGCTCTCTCACTCTCTTTGTCAAACAAAATCTTTTTTAAAAACAAAATATTTCAGAGCGCCTGGGTGGCTCAGTCATTAAGCATCTGCCTTCGGCTCAGGTCATGATCCCAGGGTCCTGGGATCGAGTCCCACATTGGGCTCCCTGCTCTGCGGGGAGCCTGCTTCTCCCTCTCCCTCTCTCCCTGCTTGGGTTCCCTCTCTCACTGTGTTTCTCTCTGTCAAATAAAAATGAAAATAAAATCTTTGGGGAAAAAAAAATATTTCTAGTTAGGTGTATGTACACCTAACATACACCTACATACATGGTATATGTACATAGTATGTATGGTGTGTGTACACAGTCCATACACCATGTACTTGCACCAGCAACTGAGGGGACCAAGACGCAAGGACACTGCAGTAGCGATGAGCATACTTCCTAGTTTCAGGTTTCTCATACCATTCTTCAGTGAAAGAAATCAAATCTCCTTAGACAAATGGCAGGTTCTAGGGCAAGGGCAGAAAGTGTACAACACGTGCCTGGAGAACACTACTGTCAGGGAGTCCGGAAGTACCAAACAAAAAACCGATGAGCAAAGATGGGGTATGTTGAAGGGTCAGAGGAGCCAACTGAAAAGGCTCTGAATGGCCAAAACGGAAACAATTTCCGCAACAAAATCATGGCATACTGGATTATGATCCAAAGTATGAAATAAATATCCACGAGTCTATCCTGACATAAACAGGAGCGACTAGAAATCTCCCATGCAGAAGAAATCCAAATAATTTCTGTAGATAATTCTGCCCTCAGGGAGGTGAACCATAACTCCCACTGGTAAGTATGAGCGGAGCCCAGTGGCCTCCTGCCCTAGAGGACATGTCGCGTGGCTGGGGAAAGTCACCCACAGTAGAGACCCCTGCAGACACTACTTCAGCCAACTGAGGTCATTTTGAGAGCACGTACCCTTGATATGAAGTGACAAGAGGGGCATTTTACCTGTGGTCTTCCTCCCCAAAACACATAACCTCAGTCTAATCAAAGAGAAAACATCTGACAAATTCCAAAGACAATCTGCAAAATGCCCGACCGGTACTCCTTAAAACTGCTGAGGTCATCAAAAACAAGGAAAATCTGAGACACTATGACAGCCAAGAGGAGCCTAAGGACACATGACAATGAAATGTAATATGGGATCCTGGATGGGATCCTGGAACAGAGAGAGGCAAAAACTAAAGAAGTCTGAATGAACTATGAACTTTAGTTAATAACATATAAATATTGGTTTATAATAATATATAAGTACTGTGACGAATGTACCATATTACCGTGAAATGTTAAAATAGGGGAAGTTGGGTCCGGGGTATATGGGAACCTTCTGTGCCATGTGTTCATTTTTCCATATGTCTATAAATATTCTAAAATAAAAAGTTTATCTTAAAATGCTGGGATAAATATATTTTTTTAATCTGCATAGAAGCATCAAAGAACTACAAGATAGTACAGAACTTCCAGGCCAAAATCTAAGCAGCAGCAAGGAGAGAGCATCAGAATCTCCAAGGTCACTTTCCCCTTGTGGCATCTACCTCTCCAAATAAGCTAAGCTGTGAAAACGCGAGCAGGGGTTTTGGGAGCTCACAGGGTGAAAAAGGCAAAGTCAAAAATCCAGGGCCCACCAAAAGTGAGAAGTCTCATAGGCCATTAAGCTGTGACCCCAAAGGGCTAACACCTCAGGATAAAGGCAAACCAGAAATAAAGCTGCCCTCCTTCCCAAAAACTCAAAGCGCTGTAGGCAGCACTGCCACGGTGCAGAGCAGAACCAGGAAAATACACCCACCCCGGAGGGAGTGGAAACACTGGCTCTCAAGGATGTGCAGCCCCAACTGTATCCTAGGGGTGGTCTATGAAGCTTCAAGGCATGAACTTAAAGTCACAGGCAGTACTCCTAAGCCCCAGGCGGAAATAAATGTCAATCCTCCCTAGAGAGAGACACCTTCATTTTATGTCTTAGGAGATCCACACGATTATCTTACAAAGCAGCCTACAGTAAAAGCTAACCAAGTACACAAGAAAACAAGGCCCCATGAGTGAGATGCAGCAGAAATAAACATGACAGGTCCATCTAGACTTCACATATTAGAAGTATTAGATATACATCAAAAAACACTCCTGGCTTACTTCGTTTAAAGAAAAATAAACAGGGTGCCTGGGTGGCTCAGTCGTTAAGCGTCTACCTTTGGCTCGGGTCAGGATCCCAGGGTCCTGGGATCGAGCCCCGCATCGGGCTCCCTGCTCAGGTTGTCTGCTTCTCTCTCTCCCTCTCTGCCCATCCCCACCGTTCATTCTCTCACTCGAATAAATAAATAAAATTTAAAAAAAAATACAAAATAAAGAACAATAAACCTACTTGAAAATCTGCAGGAGACAGGAAATGATAAAAAGTGAACATAAAGAGCAGATAGGAAAATCAAACAGAATCCTAGAGATGAAAAGCAAATCACCAAAATTAAAAACTGGGTGGGGCTGATGTGGCATCAGAGTGGACACAGCAAAATAATAAAGTGAAAGACAGCTAAGAAATGAACCAGAAAGCAGCAGAGGAAGAAAAAAAAAAAAGCTGCAAAATATGGAAGAAAGATGAAAATACCTGGAAGATAGGCTGAGAAAGGTGACAAAGTCAAACATACATTTAATCGTGACTTCAGATGACAAGAGTGTGAGGAGGGTATTATTTGAAGAGATAACAACCGACAATTTCCCAGAAGTGATAGAAGACAGCAATCCACAGATGTAAGAATCCCAACAAATCCCAAACAGGATGAATAAAAAGAAATCCAGCTGTAGACATGTATGGTGAACAGCAAAAAACCAAAGACAAAGAGAAAATCTTAAAAGCAGCAGAGGGGGGAAAAAAAGCCATT